CCCCCCCCCCCGCCCCGCCGCGTCCTTGCTTTTCTCACTCTCGGCTCTTCCTCGTCCTGTTGCTGCCCTCGTCAACGTTGTGGGCATCACCATCAGGTACAATCGCCGACCTCCACAACACGGATTTTACGTCGCTGGTAGTCCGCCCACCATGTGTGATGTCTCCTGTGCCCAGGGAGGGGAAGGAGGAACGCGAAGGTGCAATCGACATCGGCAAAGCACCGGCAGCGAGCGAAGAACGACCCATATCCGGAGACTTGACGCCGAAGCTGATGTTGCTGCTGCTGCGGCTGGGGAAGAGGGGGGGAGCGTGCACCAGGCTCTGTGTGGTGGGATCGTGGTGAGCGTATACCGAAGAGTCTCCTGGAGTGCCTTCTCTTTTTTTCTTGGAATCGTCCAACCCACAGGTTTGATTTGGTTCGTAGGGCGCCCATGTTCAACCTGGGAAGAAATGATACCCGCTCGAGAACAACACCGTTCTCTTCAGCAGCTCGCGTGCTAGTTGTTGAAGCCGACGGGGGCAAAGCTCCCCCCTTGTCGTATGGTTACTTCCCTTATTTGTTCATCGCCCCCCCGTTGTCTTAACTAGGTGTTTCCTCCTTTTGGGTTGATTTGTCTTGACGAAACAACACACACCCAATTAGTACGTGAAAACTTCCTACAACCCATTTGTCATCAGAAAATCCAAGAACATTTCACCAGAAAAGAGAAACAAGCACCTCCGCTCTCGCCTTTACCTGCTGTATGCGCGCGTACACTGCTGTAGTTGTAGTATCCGGAGCGGTTTGCCCCCCTGAACCATGCGAATCCACCCGGCCTTTCGTGGGCGGCATGAGAATGTGGGCTCGCGGGTGATTGTGTTCATCTTTGCCTGGCTGACTCGCATGCCTCCAACAGCGGGCACGTGCACATGCGACGGTAACTTGCGGGCACACGCACACGCACACACAGCAAGCAGTCCCACCCTGCCGTGCTGCCGACGGCCAGGTGTACATCATCGTGTACGTAGGGCGCAAGTTCCGAGTGTAGTTTCCAAGAGCGCAGCTCCTCACCGCGAAAGTGAAGCCACGAGATGGAGTTGATGATTAACCTCAAGACAGTGGACGCGCTGCTCTTAACCCTCCCAGTACCCAGTCCCTCCGCAAAAAAAAAATGCCGAAAAAATGTTTGTCAGCCATTGGTCGAGGGGCTACAGTCCCTCCAAAGAATCTGAGCTCCTTGCCAGACAAAGGGTGACTTGACTTCAGTATGAAAAGTGTCCCCAAAACACTTGGGGACACTTTTCATTCTGAAGCCAAGTCAGCAAATTTTTCCAGCACTAGGCGATGTACAGCAGTTTTTCGAACTGGGGGGCACGCGGGTTGGGAGATGTGTACAGCAAGTCAGTGGCCCAGGAGAGGCATCACACAGCATACACAGCGTACCACTTCAGCCAAGCATGATAGACCAAGGGTTCTCACGTGCGTTGCATACAGCGGAGCCTTGGTTGACTACAATGCGGTGGACAGGCCTTTGAGTGCTGTGTCCCAAAGTGTCCCCAAGTCGTCCCCAAAAAGGCTTCCAGTACTAGGAGGGTCAAGAGTTGTGCTGTATCGCAATGGCACATTATACGTTACCGTTTGTCACGAGCAGTTAGTTGTACGACGATAGATGTTTTTTTTTTGTTTCTCCCCACAGTACCAGAGCGTGTGTGTGTTCGTCTCATCTATTCTGGCGCCGTTTTACAGGCCTTTCGGCGTTTATATGCATACGATACCTGACGTACCAGCTGGGGTCACACAAGAGAAAGGTCACTCAGGACCTTCTTTCGTTTTTTCTTGTTTTTATGATTGCCCCACCTTTCCCCTGCGGTGCTTGCCTTGGCGGTAATACGGGCAAAACATCCCTCTAATGTTGTAGAGCTTAGCCTGCTATCAGCGGTGTGTTTGCAGTGACACAAGGAGTTGGTCCCAGCTTTCGGGCGTGTAAGTAGTTGATGATGATGGGTCGTTCTGGAGAGAATGCACAAAGTTTACACAAAAAGTGTGCGGGCGCGTCCCACGTGCTTGAAGGAGCAACAGACACGCCTAGATGTTATTTTTCCTCCACGGGTACATTAATGCTGTAGGCATGCTCGTTCCGACATCCGTCTCTTAAGGCGCCACACTCCGACTCTGCCGCATCACAATGTAAGTATGCACACCCGTGTCTGTCTCCTCGTGTGGGTGTCTCCCCCAAAACCAACAACTAAAACTAACTCCAACAAGCACACACACTGAATTTTCAGAGCCCTCCATGCCTACGCACACAGCAGCAGTGTTGGTGTTTTCACACAGCTATCTCATATGGCGTCATTTCTGCACCTTCCTCAGAAAAGGACAGAGGATCTACCGACTCCCCCCCCCCGACCGACCGCACAGCATTGACCACGGGACTTGCGGCGGTAGCCGAAAGTTGCATAGATCGCATTCTAACCAGCAGGTGTAATCTTTGTTTCATGTCGAGCTCCTTCCTCGAACGGCTTGTGCTTGGGACAGCGTCCCTAAGTTTCCCCGGAGCGCCACTACTTAGCGTTGCATGCGGGAACGACCCGACCGTGCGGGCACCATCGACTGCTGTCTGCCTGTGCACACCGGTGAGACTGCCGTAGGTTGCGTAAGATACCACACCGCCTCTGTCGACTTTCAAATCTCTATGTTTCCACGACGAAGGCGATGCCGAAATCACATGATTTATTTTCGGAAAGCTCTCGACGAGACAGTTTCAAAGCCGTCATTTCCGGCACGGCCACTCCTTCTGCTGTGCATGCAGTATAGTGGAGCTGTGGAAATCGGTTCAGGGGGTGTGATATCTTACGTAAACTACGGTAGATGCGATCCGAAAAGAAAGATGTTTGAGAAACCTACAAGCGAAACTTTTGTTGGAAAACCCTATGCATACCTCCTGTGGAATCTCAACATAGTTGGTCGCCTGTGGTACAGCAACCCCCAGCAGTAGCAGCATCATCGTCCCACATTAGCTGTTGGGCGATATCTGTCTGTGGCGACTCGAACGAGTTCCTCTGGTGGGCAGATGAGTTCCACCCTGACGGTTCTCTTCAAGACACGTATTTGTTCAAGAGACACAAAGATGACGTGTTTTTCTTTCCATACCGTGAGAAATATGGAAAGAAGAGACCCGTATGATACCACAGCAGAGGACATAATGCTTTCCCTCTCGTGGGGAGATATCGCCGCCCTGATGGCGATGTTCCCTGTTTGTCGCTATCTTGTGGGTGCCGCGGTACGTGCGAATGGGTCCCTTTTTGTTTTTTCCCACCGCAATGTGTTTTTTTTTGTCCAAGTGTTACGTATCTCCGCCAACCGTCGCAGCGGCTTGCATCTCTTATCCACTGGTTCACGATTGTTGTGGTCAGTTTTTCTGTGTATGCTTCCAAATGACCTCTTTATTTTCTGTCTGCGTACGACGGTACTGTTGGTAGAAGCTAGTGAACATGGGAAACACAGAAATGATGTTTTTTTAAAAGCAGTACAAACAGGCAATATCAACAGCAACATCTCTTCCATTTGGCAGGCCTTCTCTAGGGATTGTCTCTGTTGATCTGTCTTCCCTTGACCTTGTTAGACTCACACTGTTGAGGTTTCAGATCTACTGCCGCTATTGTAGAGCTCCGCTTGGTAATCTTCTTCTTCCTCTTCCTACAGACAATGCCCATTTTTTTTATATAACCGTAGATCAAACGGCCAGGCTATTTTTCGCGATGGCATCACCACCTGTTCCCACTGCAGTCGAGGTGTCGGTATAGTGCGGGTACGTGTCAAACCAAAGAACACGCACTATTCCGACCCCGCGCACTATATAATTTCGGGCGTGCATAGTGCGGGTTCCCGCACTATTCGCCCTATAAACTTGATAACGTACTGGAAGGGTTTTGTGTAGCCATCAGCAAGGCGAATGAAGGTGGCACGGCGGTTTAGTGCCCACAACAGGTGAGGGAATACATACAATGGGGCGATAGCTGATAGATGCCTGCGTTCGTTTGTGGGTGAGACGAGACGACTAAGCATGTACTTACGCTGCGCCGCGGTGGAAAAATATGTAAACACAAATATGCACCGTAAATTAGAGCAGAGGAGAGCATAATTGCTTCATGACATGTAGAGTGTGCTCTGAATGCACATACATTATGCCTCATCCGTTTTGTTGCTTGATTATATTTGCGGTGATTCCTCCTGAATATTTTTCAAAGATTCAGAGGAAAACAGCTACATTACACCAGCCAAGAGCTAGGGAATGCAATACGTCCGCACACGCGACCGAGGATCATTTTTGAAAACCAGCCTGCCGAACCACTCCGAACTCCAAACTACACCCCCAACTGCGAAAAGCAAACGGGGGAACACAAATGAATCCAAAACAAAAAAGACCCTACTTCTCAGTTTCTTCGACAAAACGTCCCGCAACAACACAGACGAAGAAAACGGCGAAGGAAACGTGCAATAAAATGCGACCCACATTCCACACGTAAACTGCATACTTATGTACACCCCAATATAGATTGCTTCCCACCCTACAAACGACAGTCAAATATAACACACACACGTGTTACATTTTCTATTCTACGAGAGGGGAGGGGAGGGGAGGGGAGGGGAGGGAAGGGAATTCCGAGCGGTTGACATTTAACATTTCCTCTCTGCCGCCGCCCCATCCCATGTTGACCTGGCGCTCTATGTATGGCGGGCATTCGACATAAAAAAAAAAAACACGGCAGAAAAGTGTGCGGCAAAACGGCTCATCACTCTGCGCCACCAAAATACGCCCTGACATCAGTCTGGCGCGATCGCCTTGATGCATGCGCTTCAATCATCAACATCCTTGCCCTCTTGAGTAAGTGGCTGGCCTCGCTCAAACCGCAGCCTGCCGCGATTTTTTCGAGGAAGACGGTGGCTCATCGCGGCCGCGTCCCAAGCTTTCGGCTTCGCCATCCTCTCCCCCCTCCCCCTCTCTGTCCGAAGTCTCGCCCCCCTCTACGGCGACGCCCCTCATAGCCGCCGCAACGTCCTCCGCCTGATCCAGCCGCGTCGCCTCGACGACATCCTCGTCGTCCTCGATTGATGCCCACTTCCGAGCCTCCGCCACAGAGGTTTCCGCGGCAGGCTTTCCAGGGGTGATGTCCAGGTCGCGAGCACCTCCATTTATCTGGTCCAGAGATAACCTCTTGCACGCCCCACTGTGGTCCCCCTTTCCGCCTCCTCCCGCTTTCGTTCGTTTCGGGGTGGAGCCCGCTGCTTGCCCCTTCCGCTTGCCCGCAGCAGCCGACTTGGCTTGTTCAGCTGACACGCATGCGGGATACTTGCGATGGTTTTCGTTGCCGTCTTCCTCGTCTACATCCCCGCAAATGCCGTGTAGTCTCCCGCCTCATTTTCCACGGCATTCATGACCGCGTGGGGCTACTGGTGTTTGGTCCTGCAGCAGGCAGAGTTCGCCTGCTGCACATGGCATCGTGTGTGTCTCTCTTGTTCTCGTCGGCTGTAGGGGTATGGTATGCTGTGCTGCTGTTATGCGGTAGGGGTATGGTGTGTGGCGTATTTGCGTCGAGAATGTGCGTGTGTTTGGCCGCTCTCAGAGGAGGGTGACGTCAGGACCCGCACTATAGAGGGTCTGGCGGAGACCAAATCCGCGCTATAGAGGCACTACGCGAATAGTGCGGCACCCGCACTGTTGAGAGGTCTAAGTCGTGTCAAGCAAAAATACCCGTACTACACCGACCCACCCGCACTATGTAACCCGCACTATACCGGCACCTCGACTGTGTTGGACCACCCTCGTTCTGCAGCGCCTGTTGCCGGCGAACAAGAACAATTTCTGTTTTGCCCGCGGCTACCTCGCACGCCCCTACGAGCGACTGCAGGACTAATCATCTTGTCGTTGCCCCACTGTCCTCCCACGTGTGTGTGCATCGTGCGACCCCCCTCCCCCCCCCGATGCTCCATTTTTCCAGGCGGGCGTGCTCTTCGGCGGTGTCTTGGGAGGCATCGTTGTGGGTGCGGCCGCGGTCGGAGCCTCGATAGTCTCGAGGCGCGGCAGGGACAGGGGGGACGATGATGTTCGCGTTGTTTCCTATAGCCCCGCCGCCGCCGCCGCCCCTGCCGCGGGGCGTGGCGGGGTAGCGGGCTACGGGGACATGGTCATGACTCGCGAACAGGTGAAGGGAGCAGAGCTGTGTTTTTTATGTTCCCCACGCTCTTGTTTTGTGTGTGTGGTTTAGAGTTGACCGCGCTAACCGGCTGACCGATGAAGAAACAGTCAGTCTCGGTGCGGTTGAAAGCGGAAAATGTTTCCTAAGACCAGCAGAGGGGGCGTGGGGGAGGCTGAACTACTTGCTTGGGGGAGGCTGGACTACTTTGTGTGTGTGCGTGTGTCGAGACGGTTGTGCAAGCATGGGAGTCGCCGGGATGCTTACTTAGCTGCCGCTCACACCGGTATTGTCGAAGTAGGTGCGTGAGCTGTGCCGACCTTTGGTGTCCGACGCCACTGACACGGCGGGGACAGCGAAAGGCTGTGGACAGTCGTATGCTTCAGGGAAAAGGTGACTGATCATTTCTTGTCACAATCTCTCTATCCGCGCGTGGACGTGAACACGCGTCTCGACGACAACACACAGCAGGAGTGAGCGAACGTGTCGAGTCTCTCAATAGCAATCTAGATGCCAGTATCCTCCCCCAGGGGTACGTAGGTCAATGGTGTAACCACACGGCATATCTCTACATGAGCACCCCCCTCCCCTCTCCCCTGCCCCGTACGGCATGAAAACGCCTTCGACTGGTTGTCCCCAAGCAGGCGATGCTTGCCACCGGCAGAGCGATCAGCACAGCGACGTGCGCTGCTGCTGCTGCTGCTGCCCTCGGGCAGGCGGGGGGTCGCGGGGCGGACGGCGTTGCCAGCGCTGGCGAGGCCCTGCTGCTCCCCTCGGCGCGGCCCGTGTCGAACCCCGTCGCGATTCCATGCACGTCAAGGTTAGCTCAGCTGTCGCTTGCTTGCTGGTATCCTTGTCTTTCAGCGGCGGTGCTGGGAACGGTGTCTCGCAGTCAGCGGCCGCGGTGTCGCGATACCTCTCGACTGTGATGTCATTTGCAGAATATATTTTTCTCCCCATAAAGTTGTCTATCCATACATTCAGAATAACACCACCTGGACAGACGGGAGAAAACGTTCAGTCTGTGTCGTTTTAATAATTCTCCTTAAAATTGTGGTGTACGTTGAGGGGGGCGTTCCGTCAAGAAAGTATTGAGCGTCTGCACACCTGAATTCTTGGTGAGGTTGTCGTGCGGGCGTAACGTGATGCCCTTATGTGGTAGCGGTAGGAGAAGTGTCGGATAGCATGGATGATGAGGATAGGGGCGTGAAGATGGTAATTGTGGCAGAAGAAGTGCTGATGGTTCTGGTGGCCACAAGTGACGGTGGCACTGCTAGTATATGTAGATGTAGTAGTACCTGTGGGTGCCAGTCCTGCGCAAAGGCCTTGCTTGATTTCGATGAACGACTCGCAAGGTGTTATCGCCGAACTGCTGCACAGGATACGTATATCGGTTTCGCATAAAACGAGACACCCATGGTGCCCCAAGATCCAGTGTTCCCAACCCGCCCCACCCCCCACCCCCTTGCCCTCCTTGCCGCGCTGGAACAGCTCCATCCGGACGGCACGCCGGTTGACAGCGGTGACCGCCACCCCGGCGCACGCCAACAACGTCGTGTTTGGGGTCCCGATGAGCTGCGGCGAAACCGGGGGGGGTGCTAATAATGACACCGCCGGGGGCCCCGCCACCGCCGCCGGCCTAGGAGCAGGAGCACCAACTGTGGTGGCGACGGACAGCAGTAGCAGCAGCAGCAGCAGCAGCAGCAGCAGCAGCAGCAGCAGCAGCAACATTGCGGACACTGCGCGGAGATGGTTGTGGGGCGGCACGGGCGGTGTCAACGTGAACGACGGCTGGGCTGCTGCTGCTGCGGCGGCGGCGGCCGATGGCGACGAAGAGGCAGGGGAAGACTGGTGGGCGGGGGAGGAGTTCGAGGAGGACTGGGCGTGCGTTTTTGAGGCGTACTGTCCCGAGGGGGGCTCCGGGAGGATGCCCTGTCTCGTCGCCCGAGAGGTGCGTGGGGTGGTCTAGTGGTTTGAGAGCTCTACAGGTACAAGAAAGACAAGAAAAGCGACCGCACTTCAAAACCTCCACTTTGGTCGAGGCTTAATTCCTGTTGTGTGGCTTACCACAAGTGTAGTACGGGTTCTCATTTAGGCGGGCTCAGGAACTGTGCTCAAGTTCTTCTTCTTGGATCAAATGTTGAGCATGAAAGAAGTTCTTGCGTGCGGTGGGCGCTGTCTGTACCATGTTCCGCCCGACGTGGGTGAAGGTTGTGCCGCCGCCCTTTTTGTTCTGCTCGTATATGTGTTTTTTTGTGGCCGTGCTATTGCCTGTGGTTGTCCTCTTGGCAGCTTACAAAAAGTTGCCTGTGTATTTTTTTTTTTTCTTGTTTCGTTTTTTCAGGGACAATCTTCGTCCCATCCGGCGCGTCCCCCCCGTTCTCCCCGCGGAGACGAAGCAGCAACAAAAAGTACCCCGATATCCGCGAGAGACAACATGGCACACACAACAATCAAGTTTGTGTGTCGCATCGCGTTTCTCGAAAGCATCTCCAACCAGCATACGCCTCTTATGTTCGCAAGAGCCACGCGGTAACATGGTATGCAAAATAATACTCCAAAAAGTCGTTTTTGGTATGATTTGTGTCGCGTTTTCTCGACAGCCTCTTCAACCAGCACACCCCTCTATCCCCGCAACGACATGCTACACACGATAACAACATCATTTTTTCGTGCACTATTATTGTTGCACCGCGTTTTCTCGACAGCCTCTTCAAGGCTCCGGGGTGAACGTACGCATGGCGAGAGCCATCCTACAGATCGCGGATTGGCAACACAGAGGAGACCTGGGGCTCGACGAGTTTTCCCTGGCAATGTGAGAGGATTTTTTTTTATTTTGACCTCGAGTGGTGTTTGTGCTGTCACGGCTGTTCTTACGAGGTGTATGCCTCTTTGCCACCACCCGGACGTTGCTCTGTGGTTGGAATCGGTTGGTCGGGTTGTTGTTGTTGTTGACGCAGCAAGCTTTTCGTTTTGTTATTCACCGTTCAACACACACACACACGTAGCGAGCGAGACACTGCTGGACCCTGTACAGCTTGCGACGCAGAAGCACAAGATGCCGTTTGCTGCGGGTGATGAATTGTCCGTTGTGCTTGTCCGTTGGTGTCGACCCTCTTCCAGCGTGACTGACTGTAGATTGGAGGTGTTTAGCGCTGTCTTATTTTTCAGGGTCAAGAGGTGTTGTGTTGTCTGGGAACAAACTGCATGTGCTCAAGGTCAATTTCGTGCCTTGAGCAGAGGGCTTGTTAATCTTCCTTGCGTTGTCCGGATATACTTCTGGGCAGGCTGCATGGGTGTCTGACTCTAGTTTGGTAGTAGAGCACCGTGCCACAAGTTTCTAGTGCCACGTCGTTGATTGCAGCAGACACGGCAACACGCAAACGAAAAACAATATGCGCGCGCCGTGAAACATTTTTCTTGCTGAGGTCCATTCGGCTTACTTCACCAGTGCTGTTCGCTGCTGCACATGGTACTCAAAATTGCATGACAGCAAGCACTCTCACGACCCATGAGCACAAAAGGTACTCACATGTATCTCGGTAGTGCCAACCGGCACTATTTGGGGGTCGTGAAGCCCTCTACGGTGCCGGTTCGGGTACTATTCGCAATAGTGCTGGCCCCTCTGAATATTGCCGGTATGATCGTCTGGCCCACAACGGCGCTTGCTCTCGCGCTTTGGTTTCAGCAGCCCGTCCTTCCCCCATCGTATTAGCCTCCTCCTCCTCCTCCGCCACCGCCGTTAACCGCGTAATAACACCAACCTGTCTCTGCGCACGCCGGCGGCCAGGTATCTTTGCCGACGGCAACGCCTGGGGGAAGGCGTCCCGTCGATGCTGGAGGCGTGGATGATACCGCCAAGCCTTCGCGAAGCCCGGGGATGCCGAGACAACGGCCCCTCCCCCGCGTACCCGTCGTGATTTGCGACGTGAGAGAGGGAGAGAGAGAGAGAGAGAGAGAGAGAACGCGCATCGAGGGAAGGCACCTGTGGCGTGCGCTGACTTGGATGCTCTGATCGGCATGGTGCACAAAACAAGGTAACAAGGTGTCCAGCATGTTTATTGCAGGAGTCGTAATGTCGTTGTTGTGCATTGCGTGCTGGTTGGTGGCCGGTTCAGTCCGCCTAACGGAAGACAGACGCAGCAGGGGCGAGTGCGCGTCGTTCCAGCTTTGCTGTAAATAAAGGGAAGGGAATTAGCTCTCAGATGGGTTCATTTGCCCAAGAGAGGGCTCCTGCAAGGCCAACCAACCCCCTTGGCAAGCAACCCCTTTCCTTTCCGCCGAGCTCGGGGACTGGATCTCGGGCCAAGGGGGGTCGGAGGAAGGGACTAAAGAGAGGGAAGGGTGTGAGCGGGTTAAAGGTGGTCGTCGTGGTCGTGCCTAGAGCATGAACAATTCCTAGATGCTTCCCGCTGGATAGACACCGGGCGGAGCGAGGTCCGTGTGTGCTCAAGCGTTGTTTAGTCGCTGGAATGTTTCGCGATGGATAGAGAGCGGCGGCGCGGGGGGGGGGCTGACGTACGGTCGTGGCAGCTAAGCAGCAGCAGGGATTTCGCGGCCGTTTTTTTCAGCGAACCAACCCCCCGACCAGCAGCCTCCGGTTGTGTACGTACGCGCGTTGGAGATGACCAGCAGATGCGCGAAATAATTGAAAAGAACTGTAGCGTGATCATGTGTGTTGAAGTATCTTGGCCTTGTTCTACCAGTTGATTGGTGTATATGTAGATAGCAACCTGGTGCGGGCGAACTTCTTTTTTTGTAGAGACGTACCCCCCCCCCCCCCCCCCNACGCTTACGAGCAGGGCAGTCTGAAACGGTAAGAAGACCTTGTTTGTCTGTTGTTGATGGTGGTCGCTGTCGAGGCTGGCGATCCCGATGGCTGGGTTTCAGTTTGGCGTTGCCTTGGTTTTTCCCATCCAGGTTGGCTTGCCGCGACCAATGTTATTTGAAGGGGGGGCGGGCAAACCCGTGTGTTGTGTGTTTTGACGTCCCGAAAAAAGCAACAAACCGGAATGAATATTACCATAGCCGGTTGCGTTATGTACATATGCGCATGGACCTTTTTTCCTTTTCTGTCGAGATGTATTGATAAGCGACCGCGTCAAACGTATTTGTCACAAGATTCGCGCCTTTGCGGAGCACTTTTCTGTGCTCTACCGCTGTGTGCTGTTGGTGCTCCCCACACGTTTTACTTGGTTCACTAGTGCATTTGCGGGAGATGTACATGGGCCGAAGTATGGTTTGCATGAAGCTTTTTGCGAGTAAATTATCTGCTGCGACGCATGTTTGTAAGCGGATGGTGAGTGGCTCATTCGTGCATTACCTCGATCCGCGCCTTGTTTTTCAAGCGGCGGGTTCGATCCATTCACCCCCCCCCCCCCCCCCCCCCCCC